CCTCACAAGTGAAGGAAGCTACATCTAACTCTTGATCACCAAATCCTTCCACTTCGTTGTGATGTAGTCCTTCATCAATAGTTGGTTGTTCCTGCACAGCAGAATATATTGGTCCGAGTTCTTAATGGTGTGAATCAGGTTGCCAGCAGAATTGTTCCTGCACAGCTTATGCGTATAATGCCGGCAGGTGTTCTATATTGGAAGGAGCTTTATTGAACTTACAAATCTCAAATGGGAACACTACTAATCAAGATTTCCATCTGAAGCTTGCTGCTTCTGAGCTTTCATCTGCTGGAGGTAATGAGTATATGTAATAGGGTACTCTTTTTTTTTTCCTTCCTTATTTAGATCTTAAAAACACATAGATAGACTCATCAAAATTATATGCTTACGAATTCAGGGAACAGAAGAAAATTGTGGGTGATCATAGCAGTTATCATTTCCCCGACTCTGCTTATTTCAATATTCTTTCTTTGCTATATGTTGAAGAGGAAGCTCAAACAAAATGGTATGCATGTTCCATCCACTTATTTCAATGCAGATTCAAAGAAGTTACGAAACTGAATATTTATGCTCTGTTTGAGTAAGTGAAAAATATTAATCAGAGAGCTAGACAATCTTAAATGTTAATCCCGAATACAAGAGAGTAATATCATCAAAATTGAATTGACTAATAGAAAAATAGAATTAATATCTCATTCTCCATAGTTTCTTCTTCTAAAAAAAGTAATGAAATAACTAGTGCCTGATGCCAATACAGTAATTCTTCATTTTTCCCAAAGACCACAAATAGAGCGAGACAGAGAGAGAGAGAGAGAGAGAGAGAGAGAGAGAGTACCGATTACAGTTCAAAAACAAAGTAGACTATTCACTGGAGGTTGAAATGCAAGTAATCGACGGGTCAGAGTTCAGATCTGAATCTTCGAAATCGCTTCAATAGAGCTTCGAAATCGCAGGCGATGGAGCTTCGAAATCGCGTCGATGGAGCTTCGATCTGAATCTTCGATGAAGCTTAGATCTGAAACTTCGATGGAGCTTCAAAATCGCTTCGATGAAGCTTAGAGAGGGTTGAGAGAGAGAGAGAGAGAGAGAGAGAGAGATCTGTGCGTATGTATTAAGGGTTGAGAGAGAGAGAGAGAGAACGGGCTATGATTCAAAATAAGGTTTCGGAGGCGCGTGTTCTTGTTCAAAAAAAAAAAAAAAGAAAAAAAAAGAGGCGCTTGTGGCTACCGCATTCGGAGGCATTTTTAAACGCCTCCCATTATAAACAGTGTTGTTTTGTTTAATAGAATAAGCGGCGTTTTATAAAACGCCATTAAATACTACTAATAGTGACGTTTAAAAAAACGTCGTTAAAAAAAGGCCACCAAATCCCCTTTTTCCTGTAGTGATAACATAATTACATAATGTTCTCAAAATGTTAAATAATTATTCATATATTTGAAAAAATAATATCAAATAAATTGAGAATTCTTCCTTGACCCTATCTAAAATTTAATTTTAATAAAGATCATGTACATCACTTAGTTGTTCACTAAAATTCCTCAAAAAATTTAAAGTAATTTATCATTTTTGAATCTTCCATGATAAAAGAACAAAATATTTGTTTTATTTCCCTAATTTCTTGAAAAGAATTTTTTTTTTTAAAATAAAAACCCATTTTATTTTTGAAATAGATTTACATATATATTTGTAATTTTAAGTAATCAAAATTTTACCTAAAACATTCTTATGTGTGTTGGATTTATTTCTTGTTTGATGAGGTCTACAATTAAAATCAATTTAAACAATAAAATATTTTTGAATAAAAACCTGAAGTGTCTAAAAGAAGATGACTTCTCTCTAGTTGACCATTTAAGAAGCTTGCTTTGAGATTCATCTCGGTGATCTAAAAAATTCACTTTTGAGACTTGATTGAGTAAAATATTCATATTTTCTTGTTCGATAGGGTCTATAATTAAGATCAATTTAAACAACTTATTTATTTTATTTTTTTATAATAAAAAATTGTGAGAAGCTGAAAGGAGATGACTTCTCTGTAGTTGGCCATCGAACTGAAGAGAAGCAAGATGATTGAACATTAATAACTATATATTTGGATCACATTTATTTTTAAAAAATAGATAACAAATATAATTATAAGAATAGACAATAAATATAATTTTAAAAATAAACTATCCAATTTTTGTAATACAAATATAATCTAATCATGTTATTAACGATATCCAATCATTTTGATATTAATGATTTAAAAAAATAAATAGTTCGAATCACCAAAATAACCCACTAAGGCCAACTGCTTCTCTCAAATTGAATGTCAAACTTGAGAGAATCCAAACCCTATGTACGATCCTAAAAAACCAGGCCTCTAATATAGCTGAACATTATGAAAAATGAAATAAAACATCTATGAGCCAACACTGAAGAGCTGTTGTTTTTGAGTGAACCAATTTTATTTTATTTTTTTTGGGTTTGTTCCTGTGCATGGAATCAATGGGATGAATTCAACTTATTCTCAAAAAATTAGACAATATGAATAACCCCAAATATTTGACTACGCAAGTGTCAAAATCCTATTGCTTCAATCACTTCTCACATGTGCCTTTGATGACTCATTGTTAACAACAAAATAAGCATAACATTTGAATTCAAGAAATCGAAAATCAATTTTGTTGTCTGATGCATCTAAATAAATTTAAGTTAAAAGAGCTATCTATCAATCTGTTCTCTTCCAAAATTGGCTTCAAATTATGAGCACTCTTCATATTATTCCTCTTCAAGCTGGAAGTATTCCTCTTAAAGTTCCGGCTCTTTCGAGTCTGATGCCAACTCTTTTGAGACTGACTCCAAATTTAGGCCATACTCTTCCCCTTCAAGCTGCAAGTATTCCTCTTCAAGCTCGGGCTTTTCTGAGTCTGATGCCAACTCTTTTGAGACCGACTCCAAGTTTAGGCCAAACTTTTCATATTCTTTCTCTTGAAGCTCTAAGCATTCCCAATAACCTTCCCTTGCCCTTTTCTGTTTTCCAGCTGAGCCTGAAAGGAATTTTTCTGCATATGCTGCTCGCCCTATCAGCTCTTCCTCTTCCCAGTTGTAATCAGGTGGTGTCACCAAACTTTCCTCATACATAATCACATCGATAGAGTAATTATCAGAAGCCATTAGAATATCCCTAACCGAATTGTCACAAGGATTGTATGCCCTTACACACCCCCTATACAACCCTAAGCAGAGTTTCATTATAACTTCATCATCTTTAATTAATGATTTCCCACATAGTGTTACCTAGAACGCAAATCCAAGCTGAGGAAACTTCAATGACTAATATCCCACATAAAATACCTTGCCATATGCCACATAAAGTTCCAACATAAAACTTTCAGGGAAAGGTGAAGTTTCTACTTTCATATAAAAAAAAAAAGAAAAAACATTACCTAATAATTTTAAAAGGCATTACACAATTACAGTAAACTCAGCACAGAAAATCAAGAATGTTTTAGTGTAGGCTTATCCCCAGAAATTTCCAAACTCAAATGCAACAGATGAGACAACTACTTTAATTTTGGCATTGCATCCCAAAAGTAATAATGTGTCATTAAGTCACTGAATGTCGATAGTAGTCCACAATGTTTAGATCAACAAAATAAAATAGAACATCAGGACATAGTTTTCTTAATTTCTGGGCCATTCTGAAAAATTAGGCTACAGCAGAAATTTGACTTCAAGTTTAAAAAGCCTCAAAGACTTCATACAGGAAAGGTTTGCAACACTTCAACATTATGTAACAACTGCATAATCTATGTCTTCATGCGATCATACATTGTTATGAAAACTAAAATCAACAATATGAATCGCCCCAAATATTAGACTATGCAGTCAAAATCCAATCGTTAAACAGACAAGCCTCATATGCGTTTGATGCATTATTAAAAATAAAATAGGCATAATAGTTTTGATTCAAGAAATCAAAAACCAATATTGTTGTCTGAACAATCTAAATGAAATTAAGTTAAAAAAGAACTATCTACCATCTATTCATTTTCCTCTTCCAGCTATGGCTCTTCCAAGTTCCAAGTCTAACAACACCAACTCTTCTAAGAGTGACTCTAAGCCATACTCTTCATATTCCTATTCAAGCTGAAAGTATTCCTCTTCAAGCTCTAACAACTCTAAGCCATACTCTTCATATTCTTCCTCTTCAAGCTGAAACTATTCCTCTTCAAGCTCTGGCTCTTCTAATTCTGATGCCAAATCTTTTGAGACCGATTCCAAACCTAGGCCAACATTTCATATTCTTCCTCTTCAAGCTCTAAGTATCTCCAAAAACCATTCCTCCCTTTTCCATTTTCCAACTGAGCCTGAAAGGTATTTTTCAAAATTTGTTGCTTCCCCTCTCAGCTCTTCCTCTTCCAAATTATAATCAGGTGGTGTCACAAAACTTTCCTCATACATAATTGCACTGATATAGCAGTAGCCATTATAATATCCCTATTTGAATTGTCATTAGGATTGTATGTCCTTACATACCCCCCATCCACGTCTATGCAGAATTTCATTATAACTTCATTATTATTTGTAGAACACAATGGCACAATCCGATCATCTATGGCTCTTCCAAGTTCCAAGTCTAACAACACCAACTCTTCTAAGAGTGACTCTAAGCCATACTCTTCATATTCTTCCTCTTCAAGCTGAAACTATTCCCCTTCAAGCTCTGGCTCTTCTAACTCTGATGCCAAATCTTTTGAGACCGATTCCAAACCTAGGCCAACATTTCATATTCTTCCTCTTCAAGCTCTAAGTATGTCCAATAACCATTCCTCATCCTTTTCCATTTTCCAACTGAGCCTGAAAGGTATTTTTCAAAATTTGTTGCTTCCCCTCTCAGCTCTTCCTCTTCCCAATTATAATCAGGTGGTGTCACCAAACTTTCCTCATACATAATCGCACTGATATAGTAATTATCAGTAGCCATTATAATATCCCTATTTGAATTGTCATTAGGATTGTATGTCCTTACATACCCCCCCATCCACGTCTATGCAGAATTTCATTATAACTTCATTATTCTTTGTAGAACACAATGGCACAATCCGATCATAGTAAAGAAATAATCCGGCGAAATTCGATATCGTGAACAAAACGGTCCAAGAACTTTTCATACCATATTCCTTAATTGCCAATGCCTCAACATTGCCTCCAAAAATACTAGGATTGTCGAAGCGAGCCATACAAAGACATCCATCTACAGCTCCCAAACCAAGTATAATATCTCCATCTCCATCCTTAGGTTGTGGCATTGGTACCTTGTTGAATGTATCCCTCCGTGGATCGAAGGAGAAGATTTGGTGGGTTGAGAGGAAGTAACTCTTAGAGGCCAACCAGTGTAGATGTTCATTCAATACAGGCCCTGGTTTCACAGTACGAACGCTGTAAGGGAATCGGACCTGTTTCCAAAGTTTGGTCCGAAAACTACCAATTACCATGAATTCACCGCCATAATCTGGAATCTCATGTGCAAGCGCCATTACAGCCTTGTACTCATTCCTCAAGGAATCAAAGCAAAGCCCAGAAACAACATGGTAGCCACCGTCACCCAAGCGGTTATAAGCCAGGACTTTCTTGAAACACCGGGTGAGCGGATTCCACAAGAACAAATCACTGTCGATCCGCAAAAGCAACAACCCATTACACGAACCGAATATTTCAATGTAATAAGGAGATGGAAGATTTTTCACGGGTTTAGGAACGCTTTTCACACGACAATCTTCGTCGATGGAGTGAAGAGAA